CAGAAAAAGACCCAACCTCATACGGAAATACATATGGAAGAAGTTCCATATTGGTCAGGGATAAAGAAAAGCTATTTGATTGATTAGACTAAGATGAGTATTTTCTATATTAAAAAATACACAAAATTTAATTCCCACTGATTAAATACTTAAAATTAGAGAAATTACCTTACACATCTTAATAAACAGTATTTAGTAAGCTTTCTATCATTAAGATAGATAAGACCATAAAAACTAAAGATTAATACTGGACTATATTGAAATTAACAATTAACATTCATCAAATTACAGCATCTAAAAGTCAAAAGGCAAGTGACAAACTTGGAGAACTTATTTTCAAAATACAAAACTAACAAAAGGCCAGGTGCAGTGGCCCACACCAATAGTTCCAGCATTTTGGGAGGCCGAGGCAGGTGAATCACCTGAGGTCAGGAGTTTGAGACCTGCCTGGCCAACATGGTAAAACCCTGTCTCTACTAAAAATACAAAAATTAGCTGAGCATGGTGACACACACCTGTAATCCCAGCTACTCGGGAGGTTGAGACAGGAGAATGGCTTGACCTGGGAGGTGTAGGTTGCAGTCAGCCAAGATCACTGCACTCCAGCCTGGGCAAGAGTGTAAGACTTCATCTCAAAAAAAAAGGAAGAAAAACAAACAAAGAGTTAGCATTCAGGGAAGTTTCTGTGAGCCTATGCTGGCACAGGAGGCTGCCCGATTTAAAAAATATACATACACACACACACACACACACACACACACACACACACACACACACATACACACAGGCTACAAATCAATAAGAAAAAAATAGTGTAGGAAAATGGGCATAAACATAAACTGGTAAAGGGTGAGCGAGTAAATATCCTAAAATGTGCTCAACCTCATTAGAAATTTGAAAAATACAAATTAATATATACAAAATTAAGAATAACGGGCCTGGCAAGGTGGCTCACACCTGTAATCCCAGCATTTTGGGAGGCCAAACCTGGTGGTTCACTAGGTCAAGAGTTTGAGACCAGCCTGGCCAACATGGTAAAACCTTGTCTCTACTAAAAATACACAAATTAGCCTGGAATGGTGGCATGTGCCTGTAATTCCAGTAACTCGGGAGGCTGAGGTAGGAGAATTGCTTGAACCTGGGAGGCAGAGGTTGCAGTGGGCCGAGATTACACTCTAGTCTGGGCAACTCAATACTCTGTCTCAAAAAAAAAAAAAAAAAGAAAAAAAAAGGAATAACAAGTAGTAGAGGGTATACAGATATATATATGAAAACTCTTATACCCTACTGGAGAAAAAGTTAATTTATACAAACATTTTGGGAAAAATATTTAACATTATTATGTGAGTTTGAATATTTGAATTTTTTTTTAATTCAGAAATTCTACTTCTTGACATAACAAAGAGCCAGGCACAGTGGCTCACACCTATAATTCCAGCACCCAATCTCTACTAAAATACAGATATAAAAATTAGCTAGGCATGGTCGCAGGCACCTGTAGCCCCAGCTACTGAGGAGGCTGAGGCAGGAGAATTGCTTGAATCCAGGAGGCAGGGGCTGCAGTGAGCCAACATGGCGTCACTCCACTACAGTGTGGGCAATGGTGGTCACTCCTGACCTCAAGTGATCTGCCTGCCGAGGCCTTCCAAAACAAAAGCAATGCTTTAAGGAGATTCCACATATATAAATAAAAATCTGGAACAAACAATATCAAACAGCATATTTTTGGAAATAAATATGTGATAAGACTTCATGGAGAATAAAACAAAAGATTAATACATTTAGAATATTGTCTATCTCAGTTGGTAGAAGAACGAGATGAACTAGGAGAGGAACACATGTATATGCAAGTTGCTGGTCATGTTCTAGGTCTTAAACTTGTTGGAGGGATTATAAACACTCATTTTATTTTAAGCTTTTAAAAAATGGTATACATTTATGGAGTAAAAGTGTAATGTTGTTACAGGGTTATATTGTGTAGTGGTGAAGTCAGGATTTTAGTGTATCCATCACAGGAAGAATGTACGATGTACTGATTAAGCAATTTCTATCTTCCACTCTCCCCCTCTCCCACATCCTTCGTAATCTCCATTGTCTACCATTCCACACCCTATGTCTGCGGGTACACATTATTTAACTCCCACTTATGAGTGAGAAAGCATGTGGCATTTGCCTTTCTGTGTCTGAGTTGTTCCATTTAATACAATGGTCTCCAGTTCCATCCATATTTCTGAAAAAGACATGCCTTCATTCTTTTTTATGACTGAATAGTACGCAATTACATCAATACAACACATTTTTAAACCAAGCATCTCATGAGGGACACAGGTTGAGTCCATCTTTTTGCTATTGTGAATAGTGCTGTGATAAAATAAGAGTAGAGGTCTCCTTTAATATAATAATTTTGGGGGAGATAGATATCCAGTAGAGGGATTGCTTTACATATATGTTATATATATTCTTTTGTTACTTCTGATGTTGTATATTTTTTAAAATATATAGAAAAAGAGACTATGCAGAAAATCACAAATTGATATACATAGAAAAATTTTAAAAAGCATAATGATAATTATTAATTGAAATCCCACTAATTCTCTATTTTTGAAAAAACACAACCTTAAGCAGACCACAATTCACCTGCTAAGTTATGAAACAGTGTTTTTAACTACAACACATGTTTAGCACATAGGGGAAAAGTTAATTTTAACAATGAACTCTTTTAGGGACCTTGACATATTTGACTCCATGTTTAGCAATGCTGTGAACTTAGAAGAATTGTTAAAGGAAGCCTAGCAAGCACGTCAAATATATGTGTAGGTGAAAGGGTGATAGTGACCTCAGGCATTAAGATAGCAGCTTGAAAACTGCAAGAACCTACAGATAAAGCGGGTAAACGGATTACAAGAAGGGACTTTTAAAAGAAGGAGAAAGGGCCTTTTTGGTTTGTACTTTTCCCCCTCAACACACCAGAAAGAGAAGGTACAAAATGATGACTACAATTAATGACAATATATAATATTCTTGAAAAATGCTAAAAGAGTGGATGTTAATTGTTCTCACCACAAAACTGACAACTATGTGAGGTAATGCATGCTAATTAGCTAGATTTAGTTATTTCACAATGTACATATACTCCAAAATGTCACATTGCACATGATAAATACATATAATTTTATGTCAATTAAAAAATTCAATTCAATTAAAAAGAAGTTAGAGGATTAAAGAAAGATGAGTCTACTTAACACCGTCTGTCAGGATGGATCCAAAGTGAAGGAAGAGGAGCCAGTTGCTTCCACTGTCAAAGAAGCTGTTAAAAATGTGAACCAAAACGAATGAAATGTGACTTCCTATGTCAAAGAAAACATTTATGATCATGAGGCAATCAGTGCAGAACTCACATTGACAAGATCTGTATAATCAGGCAGCTTCATCCCTTGCTGTATTCTTGGAATATGGATCAGTTTCAGCCACCAGTAGAAGCTCAAAAAAATTTCTGTTGAAGGAATAGCTACTTTTTGTAGCCTTTTGGTGGTACTTAAAAAATTTTTATTTTAGCTTTATGTATATCTATCTATCTAATCTTAGAGAAATTTGACAATAAAATCTCCTCTTTCCTTTTGGTTGAGAAGAAACCTTGGAACTTTGTACTGTCATTTCTAATAGCTGCATATCACAACATTTACATGTGAATTTTTTCTGTCTTAGTTGATATAATTTTATTTTAAAAATTATGTACGTGATCCTAAAAATTAATTCATAAGAATTAGATGTTAAACATTAATAGTTTATCCTGTTTTACTTGATAATTCAAGAGAGCTTTGTAAAGTACATACTTAAGTACCATTGCAGAAAAGAAGTTTAAATGTTCATCATGAAAAACATTTAAACACTTCTAATAGAATAATAAAAACACTTCTATTTCAGATTCCTAAAATTGCAGGTGTAACTGGTGTTCGTATCTATCAACCCCTTTCAAATTTCAGGTGAAACTGATATTTCCAATATCAGCCCCTTTCAAATTCTGTGTTTATAAAACTCTGTATTTATAATCTATAATATAAACTCTGTTTTTATAATCTTTATTATAGATTATATAAGTATGTCTATATTTATATAAAATTATTTACATATTTATTTAAAATTTTAAAATATTTGTATATTATATAATATGTAATTATTGGTATTATTTATATATTTTTATTTAAAATTTATTTATATTATTTATATATTATGATATAGTTTAATAATTTATACAAATTAGTAGTTGTTATATATATTTATTATTATATATTTATATATAATTATATATATATTTATATATAAATTATTAATCAATTATATATTATTTTCAACCCTTTTGAAAGGGATTGTATCTATCAACCTCTTTCAAACTTTGTATTTATAAAACTCTGCATTTATAATCTATAATAAATATATTTTGCATCAAGACAATATGCATACGTATTATGTGACTAAAACAAGATTTAGTCACATATATGTGCATATTGTCTTGATGCAAAAATATTTCATATTGACTGAGCAAGGTTTCATGTATCTCTCTATATATGAAGCTTTTGCTTACATATGAAACATATATAAATAGATGTATCTATATGTGAAAGATATATCTGTATATGAAGGTTTTTTATATATCTTCATGTATCTTTTGTTTACATAGAGTGTATATATCATAGAGTGATATATATATACCTCTATATATATCCTTATTAGATGAGATACATATTCTGCTTTATACTATTTTATTCGATTGATCTATTTCATTAAAAGATAAAAGGTGATCATTATAGGCAGTCAAACAACACAAATATTGATAATTTTCTTAGAACAGCCTCTACTTAAGGAATCACTATTGTAAGAGTTCTATTCAGTTTAGTAGTTACAGATTATGCATGACCAATGTATCCAGTGCCAGGTTAGACATTGATGACTACAGGTATTGATCGACTTACGACCTATGCAACTTACGACCATTCGACTTTATGACCACAATCGCTAGCCACGACTGCTCTGCATCTGGCAGCGCAAACGTTGCCCAGCTGGGCGTAGGACAGTGCGGACCAGCTTCTGGCAGCACTACCATCTCCACGTGCACCATTTCAACTGTTGTCCCAGACTCGGTACAGCAATCTGTGTTTTGTGTCTTGGATATTTTTCATCAAACCCTTCCCAATAAACTTCTTATACATTTCGAAGCAATGGACCCAAACATCGAACGATTTGCAAGGATTGAACGGATGGCGCATGATGTGTTTCATCCGTATCGTGAAATTTATGAAGAATAAAAGAAACATACAATTCTGACAAAGCTCACCATGTTTATGAAAAAACCAACTCTGGTAACCCCAACTGCTGCCTCAGATGATGACATCAACGATCCGCAGCCAAGCACCAGTGGCCAATAAAATGTTTCGTACATGTTTATATATTTTGATATGTTTTGCAATTGGGAAAATGTTTCCTATGGTATTTTTTACACCTGTATTTTGTATTTTTGTATGCACCTGTATTTTGTAATTTTGTATGTTTTGCAAATATTAAACCAGTTGTACTTGTAATGCAGTGTTTTACTTAAACCAGACGAATGTAAAAATAAGAAACAAAATGGTGTAGAGATGATACAAATGGCATGAAATGAATAAAGAAAATTATGATATATAACAATAATGAAAGAAAATTATGATAAAATATGACTTAAAGATTTTTATAACATCATTTCACAGTACTGTACATATAGCCTACTCAACTTACGACCAAATCATGTTACGACCTGTCTGTCAGAACCAATCGTGGTCGTAAGTCGATCACTAGCTGTATACCAAAAATGAATGAAATGCAGTTTTAGCACATAGTAGATACGATCAACTTTATTTTCCTCCTTCTTGTCATCATGGCTTGGTACAGGAAGTCACCAGAATCTAACACTAAGTTCATTATTCCCATTGATATCTTCTGACACTTCACAATCATAGAACTCTGCACCTTATTATCAAGTATTCTGACACCTCTGAGATGTGTACCAGTGTTCTTTCATATCAAAATATCCTTACCCTTTTTTGTATAACTATTATGTTATAGATATTGAAAATAAGTTGTTATCTGGGAGCCTACTCTACTTGTGGTATTTTGTTGGCCTCATTGATCACTGCCTTGAAGGTTACTATATTCTGTATCACGGATTCCCAAATGTTGTTTCATCATAAAGTTTTCACAAGAATTCAGTGAAATTAAAAATAAAAATGATATAATAAGTTTTTGATAGCAGTAAATTCATCCAATTAGCCCTGGCTGGTCCTGAAATCCTGGGCTCAAGTGATGCTCCCCCTCAGCCTCCAAAAGTGTTGGGATTACAAACATGAGCCACCACACCTGGCCTCTCTATTTATTTTTATAATTAGTATCTAAGAATTGATATATTATTACTGATTTTAAAATACAGGGATCTCTAAGTTAAAATAATATGGAGGAGAAAAATCCCTACAAAGGTGCATAAGAAACTTCAAAGAGAGTGAGTGTGAAGAAGAGGAGTGGGAACCAGCAGATGAAGAACAGCCTGAGAGGGATACTTTTTGTTGTATACTTTTATGTGCATTTTGGTTTTAAGAACCATGTGAGATTATACATGTTCAAAAGTAAAAAGAGGCAAGGCATGGTAGCTCATGCCTGCAATCCCAGCACTTTGGGAGGCCGAGGCGGGCAAATCACTTAAGGCCAGGAGTTTGAGACCAGCCCAGCCAACATAATGAAAATCTGTCTCTATAATAAATACAGAAAATTAGCTTGGAGCGGTGGCATGAGCCTTTAGGCCCAGCTACTTGGGAGACTGAGGCAGGAGAATCGCTTGAATATAGGAGGTAGAGGTTGCAGTGATCGTGCCACTGCACTCCAGCCTGGGTGACAGAGTAGGACTCCCTTTCAAAAACAAAAAAAGAAAAGAAAAAGAAAAAAGAAGTAAAAAGAACAAACTGATAAATGTAATAGTTTAAAATATCCTTATCTAAGCTCTTAAAATGTCATAATAAAAGAATTTGATTAGGAATATTGAGGAATTTAGAGTCTAAAGAGTTGAGATAGGTTAACATCAGAGGTAAATCAATCCACTTGGACTTGGGAATCAGAAAACTTCTCTGGAAATTCAGACTAAGAAGTGTTTTCTTTTCACCTCTAGAATAGAGCCAATTAATTTAAGTCCTCTGAGTTTGTCTTTTCATTATTCAAAGTATCACTCTTGTTAAGTGTTTCCTCTTTATTTCCCATGGTACCACACTCAAATTCTGCATTTTCTCCTACCTGTGTTTCTCATTTACAATCACATCTCACTCTAGTCCAGGCATTCTGAGCAAGATTTCACTGTGTCTCCAACTCATTCAGACACCTCTGGTGGTTCTTTGCTTCCTTTGACAACAAAACTAAACTTTTCTGATTTATTTAGCCCAGGGTCTCTCAATCTTGGCAGAAATGTCAATTTGGGCTAAATAATTGTTTATTACAAGAGACTGCTTAGTGCATTGTGTGTATTTGCATGTTTAACAGCATTCTTGATCTTTACTTGCTAATTTTCTGGTTATGACAACCAAAAATGTCTCTAGACATTGCCAAATGTCCCCTGGGGATCAAAATTGGCCCTAGTTGAGTATCACGGATCCATCCCTATCCTATTGAATAAACCCAAAATCTCACTGGTTCGTCTGTTTTTCTATTAATATGCTACACTCATTCCAAGCTTGGTTCAAGTGGTTTCATTCTCCATCTTTGAAAGTTATCTTCTCTTCCTTCCACATATGCATAAAGGTTATTCATCTTCTATTTTATTCTGATTAAATAGTAGCATTAATTTCAAAAAATTATTTCTTGATCCTTACTTACAAATGCAGGTTTTTTTTTTCATCAGCAGCAATAGGTTAATGCATTTTTAAATAGTTCACTTTGCTTTACTAACTTCAATAAATCTTGCTACCATTATGTTTGCTTTTTAAAATATGCAATGATTTTTGTTTTTTTTGCTAGTGATTCTTACATCAATGAACTCTTTTATTGGTTATCGGAATTACTTCAGAGCAATCAAAATGATTATTCATCAAAATATTTGTCTGAGATTATATATTAGCCTACTTGCATTATAATTTTTTGAAATTTGACTAAAGAGCCAGGCATAACTGGCCCATTCTCTAAAATTGTTTCATATAGTCACAATAATATTCTGTGCTAAAGATTAAAATTTGCCAAATTGATTACAAATCCTATCAAACAGGACCTTTCTCTTGGGATCCATCAATTTTCCTCTAGATTTTGTGTATTGTCTTATGGCTTCTCTCTACATTTGCAAATAAATCCTAACAAACAAACAAAAAAATAACATATTTCTCTTATCCCATGCTTTTTCCCCTTTTCTTCACCATCAGACCTTATTAAGAGGCTGCCTACTCTACATTCCTGATATCCACTTGTTCAAATACTACTGATCATTGTAAAATGCCAAGTTTAAGCATCCTCACCCCACCACCAGAAGCACATTTTATTGAAACTAATTTTGCAAGATTAGCAATGACCTCCTACTTGATATGTCCAATGACTTTCTGTATGTTCCTCTCAAATAAATCAGTACTTTTTCTTTTTCTCTAAATACAATTAAATTTGTTTGGCCTTTGCATGCCAACTAGGCGGAAGCACTGGCTGGTGCCAAGAAAGCCAAAAAGCCAGTGGGACAGAGCAACCCGCCCCAAGTAAGAAGGGGAACTGAACACAGGGAAACAGCCCAAATGGCAGGACAGGTCTTCCTGCCACCACACAAAGCCCAGTAGGCCAAAAAACTCTCACTCCAGAGTTAGGCACCCAGAACATTAGTTAGAGAGTGACCAGGAAGAATCCAGCTCGGAGGGCCGAAGGAAAGCCACCAAAGCGGCCTAATTTTCCTGAGTAAATAAAAGACGCAGCAGCTCCACTGAATCTGTGCAGCCTAGCAGCACCTCCACAGGCAGACAAAGGAAAGGCTGCCTCCCCAAGCAGCTACCTGAGATCAAAACTACAAAAAGCCATGAGATGGGGAGAAACCAGTGCAAAAGAATGAAACCATCAAAACCCAGAACATCTCTCCCCCACCACAAGTTCACTACTCCTCACCAGCAAGGCAACAAAGCAGGATGGAGAATTAATTTGATGAATTGACAGAAGCAAGCTTCAGAAGGTGGGTAATGACAAACTTCTGTGAGTTAAAGGAACATGTTCTATCCCAATGCAAAGAAACTAAAAACTATGAAAAAAAGTTAGATGAAATACTAATTAGAATAATCCGTTTAGAGAAGAACATAAAGTACTCAATGGAGCTGAAAAACATACCACAAGAACTTCATGAAGCATACATAAGTTCCAGTAGCCAAATAGATCAAGCAGATAAAAGGATATCAGAGACTGAAGATCAAATCAATGAAATAAAATGAGAAAGCAAGAAAAGAGAACAAAGAGTGAAAAGAAATGAACAAAGCCTTCAAGAAATATGGGATTATGTGAAAAGACCGAATCTACACCTGATCAGTTTACTAGAAGATGACGGGGAGAATGAATCCAAGCTGGAAAACACTCTTCAGGATATTATCCAGGAGAACTTCCCCAACCTAGCAAGGCAGGCCAACATTCAAATACAGGAAATACAGAGAACACCACAACAGTATTCCTCTAGAAGAGCAACCCCAAGGCACATAATCATCAGGTTCACCAGGGATTAAATGAAGGAAAAAATACTAAGGGCAGCCAGAGAGAAAGAAATACTCAGGTCACTCACAAAGGGAAACACATCAAACTCACAGCAGATCTCTCAGCAGAAACCCTACAAGCCAGAAGAGAGTGGGGGCCAATATTCAACATCCTTAAAGAAAAGAACTTTCAACCTAGAATTTCGTATCCAGCCAAACTAAGCTTCATAAGTGAAGGAGAAATAAAATCCTTTACGGACAAGCAATTGCTGAGGGATTTGTCACTACCAGACCTGCCCTGCAAGAGCTCCTGAGGGGAGCACTAAACACGGAAAGGAAAAACCAGTCCCAGCCACTGCAAAAAAGAACCAAATGGTAAAGACAAACAATGCAATGAAGAAATTACACTGACCAAAGGGCAAAACAACCAA